AGTCTCCTCCCACCTTGTTCTTCCAAATTGTTGTAGCTATTCTTTTTCTTTTTTTTTAAGATTTTATTTGTGAGAGAGAGCGCGAGCGTGAGCAGGGGGAGGGGCAGAGGGAAAGAGAGAGAGAATCTCAAGCAGACTCTGCTGAGTGTGGGGACCGACTCGGCTTGATCCCACAACCCTGAGATTGTGACCTGAACCGAAATCAAGAGTCAGACACTCGACTGACTGAGCCACCTGGGCGCCCCTGTTACTTACTTTTGTAGGTCACATACTCCAGACAGTTTCTCTCTAACCAAGTCATCAGGTGTCTTGCTCTAATGTGTTCTTATTATTTCATATAGTCTATCATCTGATCATTTAATAAGTATTTAACCAGTCAGCCCATAATGGGCACCTGGGTGGTTTCCAGTTTTCCTAGGGCATAAATAACACGGTGATGAACATTCCTGTAACTGATTCTTGTCCTAGAATCTTTTCCAGACAGTTGGTGCCCTCCCTCCTCCTGTGTCCTTCCCGTCAGCAAATCTTGTCTCCACCATATTCTGGGCTCCGCATAAGGGACCTGGATGAATCTGGAGTGACCTCTGTACTGTGGGACTCCTAGCCTCCCGAGCCCCCGGCCCCTGGGTGGCCTCTTGCCCACTGCCTCCCAGGCTCTTCTTGGGTGCAGCCAGGGGTCTCCCACCTCACTGGTGGATGTTAATCCCTGACTTCTAGGAGGGCACAGTCTCCAGCTCAGAGTGAGACCTCTGTTCTGGAAGAAGGAAAAGTAGCCGGACCAGAACTCTGGGAACAGCAAGGCACACACATTGCCTTATTGTCTTTTCTCAGCTGCCTGAGTTCAACCCGTTGATCTTTGGCCTCTATTCAGGATCCTCGCCAAATTCCCCACCTCTTGGGGCAGAGACCTGACCTGATCTGACCCAGCTCCCCATTGCCCTCCCCAAAGTGCCCTCTCAAAGCTTCAAATGAGGGCTGATTCTTTCTTCCTTTCTTATTTTCTTTATTTCTTTCATAGATTTTATTTATTTGAGAGAGAAAGAGAGCTTGAGAGAGAGATCACACACAAGGGGGAGGGGCAGAGGGAGAAGCAGACTCCCTGCCGAGCAGGGAGCCCCGATGCGGGGCTCGATCCCAGGACCCTGAGATCATGACCTGAGCTGAAGGCGGATGCTCAACGACTGAACCACCCAGGCGCCCGCTTGGTTTCTTTCTCTTTTTTCTTTTCTTTTCTTTTCTTTTCTTTTTTCTTTTCTTTCTTCTCTTCTCTTCTCTTCTCTTCTTTCTTTCTTTCTTCTCTATTTCTTTGGAACTTTGATATTTTTTCAATCACAAAGATAATGCACGCTGGTTAAAAAAAAAGTCAGTTTCCTTTCATTCGGTTTCTTATTCCCACTCCGAGAGGGCGTCCCTCCCCACGGGGCAGGGACTGTTGGTCAAGGGTTTATCAGAATGGGACTGTATTTATTTATTTTTCTGGATCTCGCTTTTTTCCACATTGGTATTACCTACAGAGCTCCTTGGTTCCATTGAAAAGGCCATGGTGCGTTGTAGTGGCAGGAAGTGCTTACCGCCCACCTACTGTGGGCCAGGCCCCGCCTACCTGCGTCTCTGCCAGGTGTCTGCCAGCCCTGCGGGTGCTTTGCTTCATCCATTTCCTTCCTTTCTGGTCCTGTTCTGTGCACTTTTCAATCACCCCTGACTGTTGAGATCAGGATTGCTCTGGGGGGCCAGGCCCGTGTCTGCTTCAGCCCCCTTCCACAGATGGGGGTGCTAAGGCTCAGAGACACGAAGACGCCTGCTCAGGGTCACTCCAGCACCCAGGGCAGAGGCTCACTGGCCTGGCTGTCCCTCCAGCACTAAGTTCACATCACGTAGCTCGGGGCTTGTTCTCCACCTGACCCAGGGCCCACACACAGGCAGTTTGGGAAGCCTCATTTCTGTGCCTTCTGATAGTCCCGAAAGCTTGGCTGGGCTTCTGTTCCCACACCCCTAGTTTATGGATGGGGAGACCAACATGCCACTTTCTAGGAGAGGAGTCCTGGCTCCTCAACACGCTGTTCCCTCCCTGCTGGCTACAGGCAGGGGTGGCCAGGACAAGGGGGTGTCTGGTGACATCAGCACCTCTAGAGCCAAGCCTCGCTGGCTGACCTCCGGGTGGGACGCAGTCGGAAGGGAGGCATCCATGGTGGGCACAGGCCTGGGATCACACGCCCCTGGGCACCTTGACCACCTTTTACAAAATGTGGTCACATCCACGACAGAGTCTGTGCTCTGGGACAGGAAACAGGCCGTGGGAGAGAAGCTGTTCCACACGTCTGCTAGGAGGCCATACCGGTTAGGGAGGGCTCAGTGCAGGGAGGGGATGAACACACTGCCTGCAGGAAACGGCCTGAAAAGGGTGCTTTCTGTAACTGGGAAGGAAGATCCCCACTTCCTTGGGTCTGCCCGTTTCCCTGTGGAGCTTTCCTGACCGGACCAGCTGTGTCGCAAGGCAGCTGCCATGTGGGATTTGCTCTAGCAGCATGGCCCCCTGGAGGCGCTGCATGCCTGGGCTGCCCCGTGGATCTGGCTTTGAAGGTGGCCTCTGTCACTTACAGGTGAAGTTGGGCACATGGCTTCTCTCTCTGAGCCTCGGTTTCCCTGTCTGTAAAACGGGTATGGGGAATATTTCAGCCTTAAAAAGGAAGGGAATTCTGACATCCATGCTAAAACATGGATGAGGGCTTTCTATTAACTGAAGTAAGCCAGACATCAAGAGACAAATACTGTTACAATTCCACCTTTATGAAGTACCTAGGGTACTTTAGTAGTTTAGTAGGGTACTTTAGTAGGGTTTGTGCAGAACCTGAGGCCTAAAGTACCTAGGGTACTTCAACTTTATAAAGACAGAAAGTAGAGGGGCACCTGGGTGGCTCAGTGGGTTAAGCATCCCGCTCTTGATTTTTGACTCAGGTCCTGATCTCAGGGTTGTGAGATCAAGTCCTGCATCCGGCTCTGCGCCTGGTGTGGAGCCTGCTTAAGATTTTCTCTCTTCCGGGGCGCCTGGGTGGCTCAGTCATTAAGCGTCTGCCTTCGGCTCAGGTCACGATCCCAGGGTCCTGGGATCGAGTCCCGCGTCGGGCTCTCTGCTCAGCGGGAAGCCTGCTTCTCCCTCTCCTGCTCCCCCTGCTTGTGTTCCCTCTCTCGCTGTTGCTCTCTCTGTCAAATAAATAAAATCTTTAAGAAAAAAAAAAAAAGATTTTCTCTCTTCCCCTCTCCCTCTGTCTCTCACCCCATCTCTCTCTCTCTCTCTCCAAAAAAAAAAAAAAAGTAGAATGGTTGGTGGCCAGGGACTGGGGAAGGGGAAATAGGGAGCTAGAGTTTAATTGGGGACGGGGTTTCAGTTTAGCTAGACGGAAGCGTTCTGGAGACCCATGGTGGTAGTGGCTGCGCAATGGAAGTGTACTTAATGACACTGAATTGTATACCTAAAAAAGTTTAAAGGGGTAAATTTTATGCTATGTATACATTACCCGAATACAACTATCTTGAGAAAAAAAATGGGTGGGGGCGCCTGGCTGGCTCAGTCGGTAGAGCATGACTCATGACTCTTGATCTCAGGATTGTGAATTCACCACGTTGGGTGTACAGCTTACTTTAAAAAAAAAAAAAAAAAAAAAACGGGGGCCCAAAAAAATGGGTGTTCCCTGGACTTGGCTATGAGTCTTCAGTCTGGGAACAGGAGCTGCCTCCCCCGCCCTCCGTGGGTGTTTAGTGCCCTTGAGTCACTGGCTCCTGGAGCTGGTCCCTGCATGGAGATCCCTACCTGGGGGGTCTGTTTCCTTCCCCAGGGCCCTCGGGGTTGGGAGGGCCAGGAGCCTCTGCTTCCTCCCCATCAGGATGTGTAGCCCTGCCCACATCCACCCGAAACTCACTGCTGCCCTGCCTCCCCGCCACACCCAGGCCCTGCCCTGTCCTGTCCCCCTCTCACGCCCTCTCTTGAGACTCACTGATTTTGTTGAGCACCTACTGTGTTCCGAAGACTTCTGCCCTGTCCCCCTCTCATGCCCTGTCTTGAGACCCACTGATTTTATGAGCACCTATTGTGTTCCGAAGGCTTCTGCCCTGAAGGAGCGTGACAAGGAGGTACCAGAACTGCCTGCCTGCCCCACTCTGCGCTAAGCACAGTGAAAGCCTGCAGTTCTGTGGACGCTACCCAGCAGTGCCGTGAGGTGTTTGTGCAGAACCTGAGGCCTAAAGCCAGTGAGGTCCTCGCCCAAGGCCCTGCAGTGAGGTCAAGGCGGGCAGAACCCAGCTCAGGCTTGTTGGCCCCTGGCTTCCCCCCACATCCTCAGCGAGAGCTACTTGAGAGCAGGCTGCCCCAACCACCTAGCTGTTTCTTCTCGGGGGTCTGGTTGCGGGGCAGGCCCCCCTTCCCTGGTATCCCTGTGGACTAAGGCCTGGGGTTTGGCACCTGCATCTTCTTCCCAGTTTTCTCCCAAAACCCCGTCAGAGAGAAGCGGTGACTTGTCCAGAGTTCCACCAGTGAGGCGGTGGCAGAGGTGAGACAGATAACACGGGGCAGCTAGAGGGTGATCCCCACCCTCCAGACAGGCCACCCCCACGAGGCTGGCCCTGCGCTGGACTCCCAACTCTGCCTTCCCAAGCCAGGGTGCCTGGCTCTGTCCCCCGCACCTCCACGGAGGCCTTCTCAGCAGGGAGGTGGCATCTGTCTCTCGGGCTGTAGCCACAGCTGCCCCTTGCCCTGTCTCAGGCTCTGCCTCTCCCACTGCTGCCCACACACTCACACTGAACCGAGAGGCCCCTGAGGTGTGGACACACCGTCGTCATTTTTATTGTCCCCGGAGGGCTGAGCCAAGGGCGGGATGGCAGCGAGTTCAGGATGTGCTGGAGACCGGGTGTTTGGGGCCGGGGGAGGGTAAGAGCCAGCCGAACCAGAACGGAACGGACAATGGATGGGGTTGTTTCCTCCCTCTCTCAGCCTCCCGTTCCCTCACCTGTAAACGGAGCAGTGAACAGTTTCCACCTTGGAAGTCAAGAGGCGACTTGTGCAAAGAAAGCCCCGGGACAGCAGGGGCCCAGAGGCAGCTCCTCACTGGAGTGTCCTCACTGGGAGGCTGGCACACCCACTCTCCCTCCAAAACTGGGAGGCTGCAACCACATCCTGCCTGGTCATAAACTGCACCGCCCCCAGCGTCTGGCGTCCTCTTTCTGGACACTGCAGGGGCAGGCTGTTGCACGCCCTCAGGCCCTCTGGCTTGGCCCCTTCTCCCTTCCTGTCCCTAGCCTTTGGGTGCCTGCCTAGTTGTGGACTTGGGGAACTGGGAAGGGAGGGACAAGTGTCCGGGTTTCTTTCAGCTGGAGGCCGACTGTATGATTCAGCAGGTCCTCCCCTGGAGTGCCCCCTTCCCAGGAGTGTGGGTGGTATGAGGAGCCAGCTGGTCATTAGAGGCCCGGGCCTTCCTATGGGGGGGCCATTCACCCTGGCCTGTGAGTCCTGGCCTCACCAGGAAGGCTGACCTCTGGGCTGGAGCTGGTGGCCCAGGACGGGTGGTGGCGTCTGCTGGCCCCATCGTGACCTGAGTTCTGGGAACCCCAGGGGACAGGGAAGCTGGACTCCGGGGCGCGGTCTCTTGGCACTCTTGGCATAGTCAGGTGGACAGCGGGTCCGCGCGACAATGACGTCGCAAATGGGGAGGTGGAGGGACGGGCCTGGGTTTGGTCTTGACTCTGCCCTGAGTAGTAGAGTGACGTTGGGCAGGTGACTTTACTTCCCTGAGCTTAGTTCCTTACACACACACGTAGATGCACACAGCCAGAGATAATATCATAAATGTGATGTCATCTAGCATGGGGCGGAGGCCAGTCTTGTTTTCTCGTCCTTTCTCTGCTTGGCCCCACCCCTTACTGTGCGTGTGTGCGCCTGCGCGTGCGCGTGCACGTGCGTGTCTGTGTCTCTCCCCTCAGGATCCTATATGGACATAATTACAAGCACCCTTGCAGAATTTTTTAAACTTCCCTATTTTACAGAAGTGAGTTCACATCGAGCCCCCTCTTGTACATTTAGATTTCCCACACTTTGATGGAACCTCTTCCGGTCACTGGAGCAGTGTCTCGGCAGCTGGTTCCAAGTGAACTGAGAGTTTTCAGCGTGCCCCTCTGGTCAGTCTGATCATGAACAGGATGGAGTCTGAACAGGAGTTCCCAAATGCTGCCGCTGGAACGCAGGGGGAGGCCACATTAGCAGTCTGTTCGTGTGGCTCCTGACTTCGGTGCTCGGTCTTCGTGTCTGTTAAATGGGGAGACTGCCTGCCTTCTCCGGTGGTGGTTTCCCAGCTACCTGGTGACCACTTGGCTTCTGGAGAGAGGCCTATCGGTGGGCCCCCCTGCAAGTGGCAAGGCTGTGACTCCCGGCTGGACTCACGGCGGAATTTTGGACAATGGGTCCGTTGTCTCCTGGGCCCCAGTCGGCCAGGCCGCCCTGCAGTAACCCTCTCCTGTGGGTTCTTTTCAGGTTGAACCATGATTCCAGTGACGGAGCTCCGCTACTTTGCGGACACACAGCCAGCATACCGGATCCTGAAGCCATGGTGGGACGTGTTCACCGACTACATCTCCATTGTCATGCTGATGATCGCGGTCTTCGGGGGCACGCTGCAGGTCACCCAGGACAAGATGATCTGCCTGCCTTGTAAATGGGTCACCAAGGACTCCTGCAATGACTCCTTCCGGGGCTGGGCAGCCCCAGGCCCAGAGCCCCCCTACCCCAACGCCACGTTGCTGCCGACCCCTGGCACGGGCCCCACAGGCATCAAGTACGACCTGGACCGGCACCAGTACAACTACGTGGACGCCGTCTGCTACGAGAACCGCCTGCACTGGTTCGCCAAGTACTTCCCCTACCTGGTGCTTCTGCACACGCTCATCTTCCTGGCCTGCAGCAACTTCTGGTTCAAGTTCCCTCGCACCAGCTCGAAGCTGGAGCACTTTGTGTCCATCCTGCTCAAGTGCTTCGACTCGCCCTGGACCACCCGGGCCCTGTCTGAGACAGTGGTGGAGGAGAGCGACCCCAAGCCGGCCTTCAGCAAGATGAATGGCTCCATGGACAAGAAGTCGTCGACGGTCAGTGAAGACGTGGAGGCCACCGTACCCATGCTGCAGCGGACCAAGTCCCGGATCGAGCAGGGCATCGTGGACCGCTCGGAGACGGGCGTGCTGGACAAGAAGGAGGGGGAGCAGGCCAAGGCGCTCTTTGAGAAGGTGAAGAAGTTCCGTACCCACGTGGAGGAGGGGGACATCGTGTACCGCTTGTACATGCGGCAGACCATCATCAAGGTGATCAAGTTCATCCTCATCATCTGCTACACCGTCTACTACGTGCACAACATCAAGTTCGACGTGGACTGCACCGTGGACATCGAGAGCCTGACGGGCTACCGCACCTACCGCTGTGCGCACCCGCTGGCCACGCTCTTCAAGATCCTGGCGTCCTTCTACATCAGCCTGGTCATCTTCTACGGGCTCATCTGCATGTACACGCTGTGGTGGATGCTGCGGCGCTCCCTCAAGAAGTACTCGTTCGAGTCCATCCGCGAGGAGAGCAGCTACAGTGACATCCCCGACGTCAAGAATGACTTCGCCTTCATGCTCCACCTCATCGACCAGTACGACCCGCTCTACTCGAAGCGCTTTGCCGTCTTCCTCTCAGAGGTGAGCGAGAACAAGCTACGGCAGCTGAACCTCAACAACGAGTGGACGCTGGACAAGCTGCGGCAGCGGCTCACCAAGAACGCACAGGACAAGCTGGAGCTGCACCTGTTCATGCTCAGCGGCATCCCCGACACCGTGTTCGACCTGGTGGAGCTGGAGGTGCTGAAGCTGGAGCTGATCCCGGACGTGACCATCCCGCCCAGCATCGCCCAGCTCACGGGCCTCAAGGAGCTGTGGCTGTACCACACGGCAGCCAAGATTGAGGCGCCCGCGCTGGCCTTCCTGCGTGAGAACCTGCGGGCCCTGCACATCAAGTTCACGGACATTAAGGAGATCCCGTTGTGGATCTACAGCCTGAAGACTCTGGAGGAGTTGCACCTGACAGGCAACCTGAGTGCCGAGAACAACCGCTACATTGTCATTGACGGGCTGCGCGAGCTCAAGCGCCTCAAGGTGCTGCGGCTCAAGAGCAATCTGAGCAAGCTGCCGCAGGTGGTCACCGACGTGGGCGTGCACCTGCAGAAGCTGTCCATCAACAACGAGGGCACCAAGCTCATCGTCCTCAACAGCCTCAAGAAGATGGTGAACCTGACCGAGCTGGAGCTGATCCGCTGCGACCTGGAGCGGATCCCGCACTCCATCTTCAGCCTCCACAACCTGCAGGAGATCGACCTCAAGGACAACAACCTCAAGACCATCGAGGAGATCATCAGCTTCCAGCACCTGCACCGCCTCACCTGCCTTAAGCTGTGGTACAACCACATCGCCTACATCCCCATCCAGATCGGCAACCTTACCAGCCTTGAGCGCCTCTATCTGAACCGCAACAAGATCGAGAAGATCCCCACCCAGCTCTTCTACTGCCGCAAGCTGCGCTACCTGGACCTCAGCCACAACAACCTGACCTTCCTCCCCGCCGACATTGGCCTCCTGCAGAACCTCCAGAACCTGGCTGTCACGGCCAACCGGGTGAGTGGCCTGGCTGTGGCTCTGGGGAAGGGGGGCGGGCGGTTTGCTCAGGAGGCGCAGCATCTCGGGGTGGTCAGGTACTCACCCGTGGTTCCCAGAACCACCCAGGAGGGGGCTTGTTGGGAATACAGATCCCTGGGGGCCCCCCTGCCCAGACCTGTTGACTCGGGATCTCTGGGCCGGGGGCCCTGTCTCTGCCACAGAATGTTGCAGAGTCCTCCTGCCGGGAGGGCTGGTGTCGTCGGGCGGCGTCGGTCCCCCGAGGTGACTTGGGGTGGGTTTCTCATAGGCAGGGATGTGCAGGGACAAGAGGTCCCAGGGCTGGGTTGTGGGAGGTGGGACTTAGCCTAGAGCCTGTTCTAGACCACATCTGGAGCCGAGGGGCCAGTCTGGGTCCATGGGCGGACAGAAACCGTGGGTGGCTGGTGCTCACCAAGGCCGAGCTGGGTGGTCTCTGCAGCTCTTGGCCCTGCTGACACCCTTCCCCCTGGGCTTGTCACCACCTGCCTTTCTAGAGAGGAAATTGTACAAACCATCACAGGCCGGCAGTATGGGAGGCCACGCCCTGGAGATGCTCAGGAAACCGTTGGTAGCCCTGTGTACCAGCCCCTTGCCTGGCCAGGGAAGCCCCCCACCCACAGGCCCCTTTTCAGAGGCAGGCGGGTGGGGTTGAGGGCCAGCTGATCCTGTGGCTTTGTGGTCTGGCCCCTGTAGTGCAAACAGAGCTGCAGCCACTGGAAGGACCACCCCCTGCCCACCCTTCCTGGGGACCTACGGAAAGGTGACTCGTTCCCGGTTTCTACTTTCAAGGTGGAGACACAGTGAGGCAGGTGGTGGTGGGATCCCAAAGCCCCGGGGTGGAGACCTGGTTCAGACACCACCTCTGCCCCTCCCCTGCAGACAGTGGCACAAAGCATCCCACACCGGGCGGGGCACCATACTCCCGACAGGAACTCTCTCCAGCAGCCGCAGAGGCGGGCGGTCCCCTGAAATGCACCCCCCCCCCCCCCGCCGCCCCAGGAAGGGACACACCTTCTCCAATGTCACTCAGATTGGAGGGTCTGGGCCCCCCTCCCCTCTTCTCTAAGCCCCTCTTACTGCAAACCAGCCTGACTCTTCCGTATATCAGAGTTTGACTCTGATATACGGAAGAGTCACAAACTCTATCTTCCAACCCCCCAAATTATGACTGTGAGTGTCCAAGGACGAAGGTCGGATCCCACATTGCTTCACGTGGGAGCATCTGCCCCCAGGGCCTGGGACAGGCCACAGATCAGGAAAATTGGACTCCTGGGGGAAAGCCGCATGTGGGGAGCACCAGACAGACCCCAACCTCTTCTTTAAGGCCTTCCCCCAGCGCACAGTGTGGGGGCCAGATTGCCGCTGGAGTCGGGTCCGACTAAGGCACCTCACGACCCTTTGTAACCTGTCTCCTCTGTCCCGGCTGCCCGGCTGCCCGCAGGCTCTGCACCGGCTCTGTGCGGGCTCTGTGCGGGCACCCGGGGCTTGCTGGGCCCTCCTTCCTGGTGGAGGGCGCATCAGGCATCCAGCCTGGCTTGCAGTTCCATCCCCTACCCCCGGGCTCCTCACCCCTAGCAGGACTGTTAGGTCACATCACACCTGTTGGCTGAGGTCACCCCTCAGGAAAGGAGCTGGCCACAGGCTCGCTGTCCCAAGGAAGGAGACCCTCTGCATGCCCTGTTTAGCACACTGCTTAATCACATCCTGTCTCCGCCCCTGGAATGCCAGAGGCCTTTGTAGGGAAAAAGTTCACTGGGGCTGATCCTTGTCAGGCCCATGCTTTTTTAAAAAATTTTTTAAATTATTTTTACTTTTGTAACTTTTTAATTTTTTTTATTAACATATAATGTATTATTTGTTTCAGGGGTACAGTTCTGTGACTCATCAGTCTTCCACAATTCACAGCGCCCACCATAGCACATAACCTCCCCAATGTCCATCACCCAGCCACCCCATCCCTCCCAGCCAAGGCCCGTCCTTTTAAGCTGGAGCCCCTCTCCTCCTCCTCTGTGAGCCACCCGGGGCTGCAGGTAGACGGAGGGGTGGGTGTGACCCGGCTCAGGCCCTTAGCTGCTCTTTCCCCAGGTTTAAACTCACGTGAATAGGCGTAAAAGGTGCGTTCGTTTGTCTACAGATCCATTTATTCATTCTTTCATTGATTTGGCAAATGGTTTTCACGTACTCCTGGGGTAGAGGAAGGTGCTAGCGACACAGGGACAAATAAAGCCCACTGGCTGCACATCTAGAGGCTCCTGGGCACACACAAGAATGGTCTCACCCCAGATTTAGGGCAGGCAGACCTCCTGGAGGAAGGGACATCTCCCCTGGCCCTGAAGGTTGAGGGGACGTTAGCCAGATGAAGAGGAAGTGGAGAGTCTAGTAGATTCTGTCAGTGGGAGGGCGAGCGGTGAGTTGAGCAGCCCCTGGAATTTGGACTTTCCTCTGAGGCCAGGGCTGGAAGAGAGTCCGGTTCTTCCCGCTCATTTCCATCGGATCTTCTTTGTTCCCCTTGTCTGGTGACGTGGATCTTGGCTCTTCCGTTCAGTGCCTGACACACAGCAGATGTTCACCCAATTCTCTGAGTAGATGAAGAAACGAGCTGACTTATCATTGGGAGAGATCGTTCTTGCTGCAGTGTGAGGGGGTGGGTTTGAGGGGCAAGATGAGAGGGGTCAAGAGCTGGCAGGAACCCAGGTGCAGCCATTGGCAGGGGTGAAGCCTGGACTGAGGCTGCCCTGGGTGGAGCGACTTGGGCGGGAGAATCCGCAGGATGGGGCTGGATTGGATGGGGGAGAAGGGGAGAGGTCTGAGTGACTCGGGGTTTCTCACTTGGCTGCCTGGGAAGATGGGTCACTGAAACAGGATGCAGGAGGAGTCCCTGGTTTTCAGAGAGGAGACTGTATGTCCCATGTTGGGTGTCTGGAGCCCCTGGGACATCCAAGGGACCGTGTTGAGTCAGCCTGAAGCTCAAGGAGCCCTCCTCATCCCCGCTGGACTCCTGGATGAAGAGGGGTCCTTGTCGGGATCACCGGGGGCAGAGGACGGAGGGAGAGAGGAGTCTGGCTCAAGCCTTTGGGGTCGAAGCGGAAGAGCGAGGCCAGGCAGGAGTGTGTGGGCTTAAAGCGCGTGGGGCAGCTGGGTGCAGGAACGGATTCACGTCCAGTGGATGAGGAGGGACTGTTGCTGACTCTGGCCAGATAGTTTTGGGGGTGGACAGGGCAGAAGCTGGATCACAGCTGAAGAGAAGACAGCATGTTTTTCCACGTGGTTTGTCAGGAGGTCGGGAGGGCGATGGAGCAGCCCCAGAGGCTTCTGGGAGGATTGTCTCTTTTTCCAAAGACTAAGTGGACTTGAGGCTACTTCAGCGCTGATGGGGGAGCCATCGAGGTTCCTGGGAGGTAGGAGAGGGCAGGGTCAGGGTGATAGGACAGGGCCCCAAGCCTTTGGCAGCCGAGTGACGGAAGTGTCCTCGGGAAGAGGACATGTCCAAAGGACAGGGGTGGCTGTGGTGGGCGCCAAGCTATGGGAGCACCTCTCTTTCCTCTGTGGGACCTGGAGAGAGCTCACTGGCTAGGGCAGGGGGTGCTGGGGAGGGGGCGTTGTGGGGAGGGAGCTCTGCACGTGAACCCCAGCTGTGGCACTCACTGGGTCAAGCCTTTCGTGCTGCCCTGACCCCTGTCTGAGCCACCAGAGGAGTCCACTGTCGGGGGGAGCGGGCTCTTTGGGAGGCTCAGGCCCCCCTCAGTCCTGCCAGAGCCCTGTCATGCCCTCTCACCTTCGTGTCCCTGACCTTCAGCCCTGCTCACCTGGGAGGCCACCTTGGCTCCATCCCTGACCGCTGGGCACAACAGTGGCTGTGTCTGGAGGCCCAGGTCGGGGGTCTCTTTTAAAACAAGTCACCCAAGATCCAGGTCTGCCCAAAGGCCCTCAGGCACAGAGCATTGAAGGCATTTCTCGTCCTACCTTTCATTCTACAGAGGGGGAAACTGAGGCCCAGGGAGGGAAAGGGACTTGCCAGTGAGCGCCATATTTGGCAGAATGGGAACATGGTGCAGGCTGTGAATCAGAGGAAGCAAAAGGCTTGCTTCCGTTCTCTCCCGAGCTTCCTGCCTGCGCGGTCTTGCGCACGTTGTATTTCACTTCTGCAGGCCTCAGCGGGACAGTGGGGGCAGTGACAGAGCCACCTCACAGGGGTTATTAAACAGTCTCTCCATCATCCTCACGTGGGGTCGCGTGGGGTCCCTCCTGCCCAGCCTTCTGAAAGAGACTGTTCTGGCAGATAGGCTCGGTGAGAACCCAGGTTTGTAGCCGACTCCTCGCAGAAGGGCCGGGAAGAAGGTGGCCAGAGACACAGCAGGTCCCCACTCGGGCCCCACGGTTTGCTCCTCGCTCCACCGACGGTGTGGACAGATAGCAGAGCACGAGCTGTTGAACCTGGTTCAGTCTTGGCTCCACCATGTTCCAGCTGTGAACCTCTGGGCAGGTTAGCTTCCTTAGGGCCTCCTCGGTAAAATGGTACTCCATCTGGAAAGCAGAAGAAGTGTTTATAGGGTATTTACAGGGAGTTCTGATGGGTAAATGAGGTAATAGTATCAGTGCTCAGAGCCAGCCCACTGTGTAGGAAGCTGTGTGGGGATGTCACCCGTCATCAAAGTTTGCAAACTCAGGAGGGGAATGGCCAATATTGGGCTCCCTGCACTCACGATCAGGGTGTGACTTGACAGATGAGGGGACCGAGGCCCAGGACCAGGGAGGTGACAGAGCTGGGGTCCCCACCCCTATTGGAGTGCTCCTCACAGTTCTCAGCAACTGGGGTGTGTGATTTTCTCAGCATGCCGTTCTCTTTCATGAATTATTCTTAAACCGGGCAGGCCCCACAGCCTGGCTCCTGAGGAGCCCTGGGCAATGGAGGAGGGGGCAGAGTTGATAGTAGCTGGCCAGTGTGACATGCTTCTTCGGGTGCCGAGCGCTGGGAGACAGTGGGGGACCAGGGGGCCCCAGCCCTGCCTTCTCAGAGCCTGGTCCGGGAGTGACAGGGGGTCAAGCAGCTTCACCATGGAGGGGTTGGTGACGCCGGCGGCCATGGGCGCCCTAGGTTACCCAGGAGGTCAGGGAAGGCTTCCCGGAGGAAGTGACTGTGGAGCTGAGACTTCCCATACAGGCGGAGGTCAGCCAGGCTTTAGGCCAGACGGTGCTGCGGCCTGGGCCCAGGGAGCTGAAACGGGCTTCAGAGGGGATGCTGGCGCCTGGGCACAGGGGTGGGGTGAGGGGGCAGGGAGAAGCCTCGGCCAAGTCCCCAGATCTGAGCTGTGCCCCTCACTTTGGCCCTCTTGCTCCTGCCCTTCCAGATCGAGGCGCTGCCCCCGGAACTCTTCCAGTGCCGGAAGCTGAGGGCCCTGCACCTGGGCAACAACGTGCTGCAGTCACTGCCCTCGCGGGTGGGCGAGTTGACCAACCTGACCCAGATCGAGCTGCGGGGCAACCGGCTGGAGTGCCTGCCCGTGGAGCTGGGCGAGTGCCCGTTGCTCAAGCGCAGCGGCCTGGTGGTGGAGGAGGACCTGTTCAACACGTTGCCACCCGAAGTGAAGGAGCGGCTGTGGAGGGCCGATAAAGAGCAGGCCTGAGCGCCGGCGGACAGCTGAGCACCGGGTCTCTGAGGAGTCCTCGGGGCCCAGGGACCCAGACACCCAGGGACGACCAGCCGGGCCCCAGCCAGGGCAGGAGCCCGGGGCTGGATGTTGGCTGGGCCATGGCCACGGAACAGTACCTGAGGGGCTGGCCCCTTTCCTCCTTCTGAGACTCATGCCCCCCCCGCCCCGGCCCCTGCCCAGGGCGGGCGCCCGTCAGGGAGAGCAGAGACCTATGTCTTAGAGCGCGGTATTTGGACAATCAGGGCCTCCCCCCTGGAGGCCATCTCTGCCCGAGAGGCTGAGCTGATGCCAGAGGCCCAGGGACACCCACTTAGCTCTTGGTATTTATTTTTCTCCACTTTGCATCCCCTCCCTCCAGATAACTTATACATTCCCAGCAAAGTTCAGCTCCCGTCGGGGGGCGGGGGGGGGGGGGGGG